CCGCGTCCCGGGGAGCATCCGCATCCTGCTGGGCACCCAAGGGCTCTGCGGGGGGCTGCTGTGAGCAGTGGTGGGGTGAGGCTCGAAGCCCCCCTGTCCTCCTTGAGGGTTTTTGCAGCTGCACTGGGGGTTTGGACCAGCCGCGTCCCGGGGAGCATCCGCATCCTGCTGGGCACCCAAGGGCTCTGCGGGGGGCTGCTGTGAGCAGTGGTGGGGTGAGGCTCGAAGCCCCCCTGTCCTCCTTGAGGGTTTTTGCAGCTGCACTGGGGGTTTGGACCAGGCTCGGGGTTTGGACCAGGCTCGGGGTTTTACGGATGATTTTATGCTCAGTGAAGCTGTGGTCCCCTCGTGACGCTGAGCACACAGTGTGGGGCACGGAGACCCTCCGGAGGGATGGGGTAGCCAGGGGAAGCAATACCTCCAGGAAATGGCAGAGTTCCCTTTTTACTGGGTCTTTCTGTTACAAGTGGATATTCCTGGGGTTGTGAGGAAGGGTTTTGAAAAACTGGCAGTTTTGGCCACCTCGATGTTGGCTTTTTTTTTTTTTTAAAAAAAATTTTGAGAAAAGAGCATTTATGGAGTGATGCTCCTGTGGAGGCCTTGATGTTTCTAAAAAACAGCTTGGAAAAATCTAGTGCCCACAGCCCTAAAAGCAGAAGTTTTAAAAATAAATTCCTCTCTGGCCTCCAGCAGATTAATCGGGCAGGGTGTGCTCCAGGGGTGTAATCCGGGTGGCAAATTGCTGAAAATCCTTGGAATGAACCAGCAGAGATTTTGAGAGGCAAATTTCTCATTTTCTGGGGCTAAAAATAGATGCAAGAAAAATTGCTTTTAAAATGGAAGAAAAGGTGGTGGGTGACTTCGCTTTTGGCATTGTCCTGGGAAAAGGGAGCACCCAGGCCGCTGAGTGCCTGGCCAACGGCATTACTGACAGCCGGGCTTTTTCCTGAATAGCTCCATTAGCTTGCACAAGTGCTTTTTTGGTTTTTTTTGAAACTAAAAGGCTGAAAACCACCCGGTTTTGGACGCCTTGCAGGGTGTAGCATTACCTCGCGCCACCTCCTTTGGCTTGAGTTCACGCAAAAGGCAGCTTTCAAGGGCAAGGAGCTGTCCAAAAAACCTGCCTGTGCTTAGAAATGAAATGTGGTCATCTGCCAGAAGAAGGAAAGGGGGGGCGGGGGAAATAAATGGCAGTAAGTGTTGTCACCTCCATCGCTGCAGCCCTTTCTGGGGTCAGCAGGACTGCGTGCTGCAGAGGGCAGTACCGAGCTTGTAGGATTAAGTCCATGAAGACATCTGCATTTCATTAACAAAAATATTTAATTTCTCTCTCAAGATAAATTAATTATTAATCCAGTTTGGGGAGCTGACTTACCCTGCTAAACTCCATCAGTTAGGCTTGTGTTGAATTGTTCTTTTGCAGCAAATTGTCTAGCATCTCTTAGTTTTTGATTTGCTTTATATTCTCTGAATGATATGGTAGTTTGTGTACTAGAGTTAGCTTTTTGCAGGTGTTTTTGCTGAGTGTCTCTTACGAGCCAGCTGCTTCTGCCCAAAAAGGAGGGACCCAAGTCAAGGAGCAGATGGGGGCTTGCTCCAGGCTCCAAACTCTTTAGGAACGTGCAAAACCAAACTGAGCTGCCATTTCAGAAGCGGGTTTTGTCTGTCTCTGTGTTTCAGGGGCAATACCAGGGTGGAGGAAGCCTGTGAAATGTACACCAGGGCTGCCAACATGTTCAAGATCGCGAAAAACTGGAGTGGTGAGTACAGCCCCTGTCGTTGAGGGGGGCTTCAGAGAGGGTGACTGATGCTGGGGTGACCCGCCAGCGCCTGAGCATCTTCCTGCGAATTATCGCAGTGGAGTTTTACATCCCAGGCTGTTTCCACGGGGATGGTCCCTATGGTGATGCAGTTCCTCTGCTCTGCCTGGCCCTGTGATGATTTAAATATTGGGAGGTTGGGCAAAGGGGGTGACCTGAATATTCCTGATGTTAAATGAGCTGGGGTGCCATTTACCAATTTAAAATGAAAGCTCATAACTCTGCAGGGAACCTGCTAAAGGGGCGCTGCCGCCCTGGGTTTGCTTGTCAAGCAAGGAAATACCTTTGGGGTGGGACGTCAAATCCGGGGTTGTTGCATCTCTCAACCTCTCTGGGTCCTGGGAAGCGACGCGCGCTTTGCCGTTTTGCGGTGATCCCGCTGGTTACCGGGCCGGGTGGGTCCATGGGGTCGGTGTGCGCTTCTCTCCCAGCTGCAGGAAATGCGTTTTGCCAGGCGGCCAAGCTGCACATGCAGCTGCAGAGCAAACACGACTCGGCCACCAGCTTCGTGGACGCTGGGAACGCCTACAAAAAAGCTGACCCGCAAGGTAAGGGGAGCGAAATCCAGGATTGTTTCTTGCCAAGCTGCTTAGCGGCAGAGGAGGCGGTACGCCAAGGCTGTTGGTAGTCACCGGCTCCACGGGGCTGCGAAGCCTTGCTGCAGGCTACTCGAAAGCTGTGATACCTCCTGTGCTTCTATTCCCCAGAATGGGCTTTGAGGTGATGTGAGATAGTCAGCATCGTCTTAGTCTTGGTCCTGCACGCGTAAGGGTGTCATCTCTGGGTGATCTCTGGCGCTTTGGCTTACGCTGCAGTGTGTTGGTTGTGAAGCTCTGCCCCTCGGTAGCTTCCTTCCTGGTTTAGCTTGGCTTTGGAGAAATACTGACTTCTTAAGGAATGCTTACAGCCAGGCTCAGGTCTGGACGGCAGCAGGATCCCTGCCCTTTGCCCCACTCCCGTTCCCAGGGGTTCCCCCAGGGCAGAGGTGGGAGGAAAATGGACTGTCCTTTGACGGGATGAGGATATAAGATCTGGATTCTTTGAATCTGGTTATAAAGAGCAGGGTTGTGGTTTTCTGGAAGGCCTCTGCTTCCCCTTACCCTAGCTGAGTGTTTGGAAGCACAGCAGCCCATCCACCAGTACTACCCATGCTTTCCTGTGCCAGGGGGCTGAAGAAGCTAACACAGGGCTGATAATACCGTTTTATAATTGTAAAACACCCAAATTTCCTAGAAAATGGCAGCTCCTGCATGTTTATGAGATCGGTATTTTGAATTTTGTTCTGTTTGAGGATGCAGCCTGACAAACTCAGGGTACAAGTCATCTGTATTTTGCCCATCCTAATTTTTGACTGTTACCTTTCCGTGCCGGAATTTTTGCCTGGTGAACAAGTGGGCTATCAGTGGGATGGGAGTGTTTGGGCTGGGTGAATTTGGATTAGATCTGCAGGTGCAAAAATGTGGGGGACGTTACATCTGTAGGTCTTAGGGGCTGAAAATGTTATGTTTGTCATTCCAGATAGACATAAATGTGTGAGTAGATATTTACTGGAGAAGCTGGTGTGTGGTCTGATGAAGAGTGATGTTACAGAGATCTGATATTTAGAGGGGGGAGGTCTTGGGCTGGGAAGTCTGTCGTGCTGGCTGACTTTGTTGTTTTTCCTGAACACTCATGCTGCAGAGGCCATCAACTGCTTAAATGCAGCTATCGATATCTACACCGACATGGTAAGAAGCTGCACTGGCAGCTCGCGGACCGATGTGCTTTGTAAGAGATGCAGCTCGGGAAATGCTGGGCGGAGGGGGAGCCCCCGCCTCACGTGCAACCTCTGCCTTCTCTAGGGGCGATTCACCATCGCTGCCAAGCACCACATCACCATCGCGGAGATCTACGAGGCTGAGCTGGTAGACATCGAGAAGGTAAGGGTGCCGGGCTCCGCTGAGGCTGCTCTGCAGGTGCTGTGGCGGCTGCGTTTCCTTCCCCGGTCAGAGCAGTGCCGCCAATGAAATCCATCTCTCAACTGGCGCCAGGCTTCTTCATGTAGGTGTAAGTCACCTGGAAGTTGAAGTTACAGGGTGAGCGATGGTTTTCCCAGCACGGGGCTCTGGTGGGGCGATCCTGATTCTTTCGTGTGCCCCTCTGCTGAGCAACAGCAGGCAGGACTGGCAGAAACACCCTTGTGAGAAACCTTCTCGACTGAAGTGGTGTTTCACATCAGAAAAGCGCTTTGGGAAAGCTGTGGGGGCGGTGTTGTAGCTATTTTCTGATGCACCCCAAGGAAGCTGCTGTTAGTTTTAGTTCAAGGTTCAGCACTGACCCTTCCCATAACCGAGGGCCCTGAGCAGGAATCCTGCAGCAGTTGAACTGCCTGCAAATCTTCTGCTCGAAGTTTGCAGAATAAAAATGTATGGTTTCTAGATACTGTTTTCTAGACAATAATTTGCTTCCTCAGCTCTATTTCGCTGGATCCCATCTACCTCTGTTAATGACCTCAGTGTTGCCTCTCCACGCACATTGAAATTAAGCCCTGCCATGTCAGGGCTGTTCTGTTCAGTGATTTATTCCATCGTGGCAAACCTGGCAGAAGCCCTGTCATGCTGTGGTTATAAGCGTTTGTCATTATTACCTCAGGAGCAGTGTCACCTGTATTAAACCTGCCCTGGAGTTTGGGACACTGAACAAGTTCGTGGTCAAATTTCCAAGGGCAGCTTCGTGTTTTGTGTGCGCGGGGGGACACGTGGCAAGGCCTCGCTCTGCCAGAATCCCCGCAGCGCGCCGTGCCGCCGCTCCTTTTGTGCGTGGAATGGGAAGGCTTTTGTGAACGCGGTCGCTGTACGCTCGTCTGACCAAAAATTGTCCCTCAGAGGTGGCACTCATGCGCCATGTTTCTGTCCCCAGGCGATTGCGCACTACGAGCAGGCTGCAGACTATTACAAAGGAGAGGAGTCTAACAGGCAAGTGGTCTTTGTAAAAGAGTCGTAGTGGGGAAGGGCTGGAGCCGGGGATCTGTCCTAGATGGCCCACGCGCTTGCACACCTTGCCTGCCAGCCTCTTCTAAAATGTCCTTTGGTGGGATGCCCGAGTCCTGCTTTGATTTCTGTTCAGGGTTCTCATCCTGCATGCGGGCTTGTCTGGTTTGGAGTGCCTGTTCTGCGTGCGGAGAAAGCACAGAGCGATTGAACGGTGCCTGATGCCAGGTCTGTGCTGAGCTGAAGGTCCTTGTGCCTTTCCATGTGTTTTAATTTTGGCTGTTAAAAATAAAATTCCCCTAATTTGCAGCTTTTGGGTCCCACTTTTCTATACGCTAAGTAGTACAGGTAGTGCTTGGAGGTACCAGGGCATGGATTATTTTTTTTTTTCCCCCAGGACACAATTACTTCCTTTAATGCTATTATTGATTATAGCTCAGCCAACAAGTGTCTGCTGAAGGTGGCTGCCTACGCCGCACAGCTGGAGCAGTACCAGAAGGCGATAGAAATCTACGAGCAGGTGAGGATGTGTGCTTCATCTGACAGGGCAGAAGTGTCTTGAAAACAGAAAGCAGGTCAGTGTGTCAGTCTCACAAAGTTGCCGTGGCCTAGAAGCTCCTCATCTTAATTATTTTGGGGCTGATTATGCCTTTACGAGACATGGTTTGCTCCTTCACTTTGAAGAGTTGCTTTCATTTACCAAAGACATTTTTTTCCCCTGAATTCTGTTGTTTCTAGAGAAAGGCTGAGGGAAGGAAATCTACAGTTACACTTTTGATCATGTTTATAAATATGTTTGGCAGAAAATTTCCCCCAGATTTGTACGCTCGATTGCTCTGCCTTTGTGTCGGGTATTTACCTGGGAATACTCGCAGTGCTGCTTTCATGCTTCTGGAGGGTTAATACTGGAGCAGGTTTTCCCCAGCCTACATGCTTTCCCCCTTCTGCTTTCCCCCTTCTGCGTTAGACAGGACATACTGAGGTACCGGTGTGGTGCCCCTGAACTGGCGCAGCAGCGCCCTGGGAGGACGGGCTGTGTGCCTGCGCTCTCACTGCCTGCGGGTCTCTGACTTCACTTGAGATTAGTTAGAAACCTGCTTGGCTTCTCACTAGCTTTTTGCATGGACGCTGGCATTTTTTTCCACCATCTTCATTCGCAGCCAGCTGTGTGGTGCAGCATGTAATTTTAGTCGGCTGTCTGTTTTTAATTCAGTTCTCAGTGATGTGGTTTTCCTTCCCAACTCTTAATTTTTTTGCCTAGGTCGGAACAAACACGATGGATAATCCTTTGCTCAAGTATAGTGCGAAAGAGTATTTCTTCAAAGCTGCTCTGTGCCACTTCATCGTGGACGAGCTGAACGCGAAGGTCAGTGGGCTCAGGTTTCTGCATCCCGCTTCATCAGTGTTTGCTGGCTGAGACACGTTCTTGCATGCATGGGGGCTTGCATGGCTGTTGTGTGGGCTGAAGCGTGAAGTGCTATGGCGCTGAGTTGGATTTAATGTGAATACTTGCTCTGGGATTTACTGGGAATGCCAAACTCTCTGTGCAGGTTTAGGACTTGAAGGCAAAAACTGAAATCAAAAGCAAGTAGTTTTGTGGGAAATGAGCGTAAGGGTTGTCTTCTCTCTTTCAGCTTGCACTTGAGAAATACGAAGAAATGTTCCCAGCGTTCACAGATTCACGGGAGTGCAAGCTATTGAAAGTGAGTGAAGCCAGTATTAAAGTAATAGTCACGCTTGAAAACATGCACTGCCCTTTTACTTCATGCTTTTTCACTTTGCCATAGATTTGGTCATTTATTGGAGCGTTTGAGAAGGCATCAGACTCACTTTGCATTGGGTTTATACCAGTCTTGTGGACGTAGTTGCAGCAGAACGATGATCATTCTAGCTAACTTAAAAAAACCCCCGAAACTATTTCTGTATTCGCGGTGGGTGGTTTGAACAGGTGGCGAAGGTGCCGCTGCCGGACACGTGGGTGCCCCACAGTGCGGGTGCAGAGGTGTTCTCTCTCTGGGGACTGCAGGAACATGGAGTGACAGAGTATTTTCTGATATTTAATGGTGTTCTCCTAGAAACTGCTGGAAGCCCACGAGGAGCAGAACTGCGAGGCATACACCGAGGCAGTAAGTAGTCATGAATTTGTTAAGGCACGCTTGTGGATGGCAGGTTGTTCCTTTTTTAATCTTTCTGTGGTGCATGTGCGCTGTTAAACATTGGGTGACTTGTTGCCCGAGCTCCGAGGGTTGCGACCGAGTCCAGTGGGGCAAAACGCAGGCACTTCAGTGAGGTGGGCGTGAGCAGAGCTGCTTCCAGCCAGTGCTCTAGCCAGTCCCAAACTTAATATTTAAAATTACTAGTTTGTCACTGAGAGTTAAGTAAAGGTCCTGCCTGGTTTTTCTCCAGCTCCTTTCTGTGTTTGACAGTGGCCTAAAGTGCTCTGTTGGATAGATTGTGTTTTACTCTGTTCTGTTCTGTTCTATTCTGTTCTCTTCTCTGGGAAGACGAGAAATTTTAAAAGCCCATACTTCAAGAGCTGCAGAATGCTGCTTTTGCAGCAGTCTCATTTGCTTTTTAATATCTTAATTTAAACCCTTTTTTTTCTAATAGGTTAAAGAATTTGATTCAATATCCCGGTTGGATCAATGGCTTACAACCATGTTGCTTCGCATCAAAAAGTCAATCCAAGGAGAAGGGGACGGGGACCTGAAGTGAATCATGTGTGGTGTTTGTGGCATGCAGCCTAAGTAATCTGTTCTTGTGTTACAGCCAAGGACCACTATGGGATACGTGATAAAATATCTAGCTTTATTTTGTTGCTTACAAATCCAATGACTTGTGTGTTTCTTTAGCATCCTGCTCTTTGTCGTGACAACATGGGTAGATGAGAAGCGATGCTCTGGGTATCACTGGCAGAAAGAAGCACTTGGGGAGCAATCCTGTCTTGGTTTTGTTAGCTGATGAACCCAAAGTCTGCACTTGCAAGTACTGTTTTTTACCGCTGTTCTGTCTTAGGGGTCAGCACCATCTATTCCAGCATGTAAATATTTGGTCTGTGCCAGTACGGTACAAAGAATCGCTTCTGGTCTGTTGCTGTATCGTTACTGTTTTCTGTTTCTAAATGGATCTGTCAGACACACTTGGATCTTGTTTTTTTTTTTTTTAAATTATTGAGTTTTTTTAATGGTGCTAGTGAAAGGCTTTGTGACTCTTTCATACCATATGCATGTGTGTGTATGCACCTGATACAGATACATGTGTGCATGTGTAGACACAGAATAGATCATGACCGAGTGCTGGAAGCGTCACAGACTAGGGGACAGGACTGCTTAGGTTGGTGTCAGCCCTCTGGACAGGCATCGCGCATAGACCTAGTTAACAGTGTATTTTGTATTTCAGATCTCAATATAAAATGTAAGGCTCTTCTATATTTTCTTGGATCTATTTTTCCACTTACTTTACTTTGTGGTGCATCCCATCCCTCCTACCCCAAGACTACTTGACCCGAGTAATAGTCTATTTTTCTAACTTCTCATTGACATGAACTCCTGCTGCCGTCTCCATGACAGGTCGTTCGTGTGCGCCGGGCAATACCCGTTAGTTTCTGACCTCTCTGCCGTTGGCTGTGCCGCCTCGCTCTTGTGATGTGCAAAGGTGTTGGCTGAGACTCAATGTTACACGAAACGCTTGTTCTAGTTGTCTGGGGGATGGATGAATCGAGCTTGCTTTGAAAAGGTGTAGACATGTTTAAAAATTCCTGCAGTAATTTTAGAAATGTGTTTTAAAATGTCGGCAACCAAGGCTCTTCCGTGCAATGCTTTGTTTAATTAGAGATGATTAAGCTACCCATTATTTCATGCATATATATTAAGGAGGATTTGGGGGACTGTACAGTTTGTCAGTGGGAGTTGTCACTCAGTATTTCTCTGCAATGAAGAGATTTTCAGCTGCACTACTGATGTGGAAGGAATGAAAAGTGACTGCTTTATTCGGCACAACCGCTGTTTAAGTCGGCCCTCTTTCACGGCCAGAGCAGGAACGTCACGGCAGTTTCAGCGGGTGCTGCCACCCAGCCTGGGCTCTGCCCGGTGTTTCTCTTGATGAAGTGATAGTCTCTGGCAACCAAAATGCTGCTTTTGCACTTCTCCTCAGTTTGATTTTAATTGAGGTGGTTATTGAGTAGAACGCGGTTTGGCTTATTGGTCTAAAGGCTTTAGTTCTATTAAGTGGTACTTTACCGCTGGCTTATGAAAAAGAAAACCAAAAAATGCTCCTGGTACATGCCAAATTATTGTTGTTATTATTTTTTTGTTTTCCTGACTGATCGCTTATTTTCCATAGACTATTCTGTGCATCCTAACTTGTTAGAAAAGACCCATAAGCTGTGCAGAACTGCCATGGCGAGTGCATTGAAACAGCCTGGACAAGGCTCCTTCTTCCAAGCAATTTCCATTTCTTCACTTCTCTGATGTGTTTTTAAGGCTGCTGCTCATGATCCACCTCTGTCCGCAACAAACCCATCACTTTAACTTAGCTCACCCTGTGTCACATCTGTTTTTCCCACAAGGGAAACCCTGTTTAGGATGGGGTCCTGGTCTGTCTCCACCCAAGAGGCAGGTGCACACCTCAGCTCAGCAGAAACCAGGCCTGACTGACATTTCCCGAGTCCTTTGTGCGCTTGTGCCACCTCCACGGGGCAGAGAAAATACTGGGCTTAGGACGCAGTGAGCGTGGTAGGTAGGTAATCTTACCACTGAAGCTGGATTAGCTGCAGATTTAGTCTCATCTTGGACAAGAGGGGACAAGGTGGAACCAGTTAGAACTGGTTTAACGTACTTTTTTCTGTGGTGAGCAGAGACCCATCGTATTGGCGGGTTTGTCTTGACTTGTGTCCGACGCCTTGGCAGCTGTAGCGAGGGGGAGCGCGGGCTGTGAGGTTTCCTTGCCCTAGCATCACACACACAACTGAGGCGCGTGTTTTTATGCCTTTTTTGGTTCACTTTTCCTGTCGTCAGTATTATGCACAGCTGTGATCAAATGCGTATGGAGCTGGTGGACCAGAAGACCGTACCCATGGGGTCGTGTGGTCTGTTACTGTGCCCTGGAGTAACACCATTCCAATACCAGTGTTCGTTCCGTAGAAGTAGGCTGCAGCATGTCCTCCAGTGTTAGCAGTGGTCAATTGTGACAGTTTTACAACAACGATCTGCCACTCTGCTGTATTTTCCCCCCAGTACACAACTCTGTACTATGGAAACTTATTAATGAAATGGCCTTAGCAAGAATATAATGTTTTGTGTGAATCTGTACATTAATAAAGTGAAAATCATGAATGTAAGTAGTGATAAATGTTCTTTCCTGGGGTAATGTGAAAGGCAGGCTAAAGCTAGAGCCTGATGGAAAGCCGTGAGGCGATGGATGATAAAAGCCAGGATCCATCGGGCTTCCTTTCAGTTACTGTGGTAACCTGTTCAGGTACAACCCCAGGGTGAATACTCATATGGGGAAGCACTGGCCGCTCATTTTACAGGGATTGTCACACCACTTAACTACCTGTTGTACAACCTGTCACCTGTGGGAACGTGAAATGTCCCACGTCCCACTTTCGCAGGTGTGTTTTGTAACGCCTAGCTGGAGGTAAGCTCCAAGAAACCCACCCCGTCCGGCAGACAGGTAAGGTGGAGCCCAGGCTCCCACAGCGCTGCATGGCCGTGCTCTGGCAGGGTGACGGGCCTGGGGAGGAAGAGTGGCACCTGACAGCTTCAGGCCTGCAGCAGAGCTCGGTTAGGACTTAGCCCAGATTTCGTGCATTCACAGCGATGGGGGTCTGTGCGTTATGTGGAGGGTACAGAAACATTTGATATGGTCATCGAGTCACTGGAAGGGTCAGTCTTTTAAGAGTTCAGTATTTTAATAAGAACAGTTCATACGAGTAACTCACTTCCGTACATTCATGGAGTACAAAAGTTTCCCTGGCTACAGGTACTAACGCTCAGACTTTAAATATATCTACAAACTCTTTACATTGGGAATACTGAGCTTCAACAGGAACATAGTGCTTGAATAAATATTTCAAATATAACCTCTTGGAAATGTTCTCTTAAAAAAATTCCCTTTCTATAGTTATGATTCCATGGTAACCCATCAGACATCCCTTTAAGGTTCAAAAATAGCTCTGTGCCACAGTTTGGGTATCGTTATTGCTTTGCCACCCCCTAAGCCTTAGGACAGGCCCTAACAAGGCTTGATTGTGCTTACCTTCATGCTAACGCAACTTTTCAGAAAGTTTTTCTCACAGCTTCAGCTGAGAAAGTTTCTGTGGAAATACTACATTAATAGTAAACTAAAGAGAAGCAGAAAAGCAAAACAGGAAAAAGATAGAAAAGCTCCAGATTTTTCCATGATGGCACAGGGAATCTCGTCCTGATTTTGAAGCGTTAACCATACCAGCAAGTTGCTGCTAATTCACAGCTGCTCCCAAAACCAAGAGTCATCCCAGTCAGATGTTTCTTTGTCAGTGCCAGCAACTGCAATGGTTCCTTCCCTACATAGGAAAAATATTCCAAATCCTCCCAAGTACTCCAGGGAGGGCAACCAAAGTAACTTTATCATTCCAGCCCAGCAAAGGAAATGCAGAAAATGCTCACCCCGGACAGAAACTCTCTGGGGTTTCCCTGTGCAACAGCTTTCCCAGGTACTGGTTGTGACTGGGGAGAACAAAGAGAGGTACTGCCTGGGGAAGGGGCAGAGGTATTTAGGAAAGATCTGTCTGTCTTGGGAAGAAATGCCCACATAGAAGTGTGATTCTCTTAGGTTGGTGGCACTGGGATCCTTAAGGCCTGCCTCTAAACACCTTGCTGGGGAAAGTTAAACAGACACCAGCCTAAAACTGCTGTTCAGATTCCAACACAGTCCTATGGACAAAGTATTCACAATCTGGGAAATAAAGGCCTGAATCCCTTGAATAGCGCAGTATGTTTTTCACTTATTTGCATCTTTTTATGCCATTAGTCATATGAACCCTGACTGCCTCCTATTTGTGACTGGATTTACCTCGGGAGACTCTTGCAGTGCTGGGATTAGCTGTAGCAACTCAGGAGCAGAACGCTAGTTAACTTTTCCCACTGGCTATCACTTAGTTTAGCAGTAGGTCTGCAGTCCTGTCTAAGTGATGGTGGAGAAGAGAGCAGTGCTGACCTCTGAACCAGCAGAAAATGGCTCAGATGAAAGTTAACAGGACAATGCCAATAAGCTGTTGTGAAGGACAGTGAATTTTTGCCTTAAAGAACCTGTTTTGCAGATTTTATGTATGTGTCTTGAACAAACCTCTTTTACAGTGTGAGTTTTATGTGTTGACCCTAAGAACAGCCTGCTTTGCAGTACAGTGTGCTCCAGGGAGGGAACAAGCCCTGCGAAGGTGGAGCGGTGCTCCCTCCCCAGAGATAAAAGGGTGAAGCGGTGCCCCCTCCTTGGAGGTAGGAAGGTGGAGCAGTGTTCTCCCTTCAGAAACTTTAGTTGGGACAATCGATAAAGGGGGCTTCAGTTGGAGCAGCTACCCACCCTCCCCTATCCAAACAGACAAACCCTGCAGAAGAGGGGTGTTTCTGGACTTGGAGAGGGCCAAGCCCTTATCTACAGGTGTACACGGGACTTGAGAAGGTCCACTCCCTTAGCTATAGTGGACAGGACCCCTTGGACCCCCCAAAATGTCACATACTGTGCCTGCGTCCTAATCAGCATGAAAAGGGAGAAGAGGAGGGGATAACGTGAACAGGATCATGAATATTAATGACAAGGGACAATAAAAATGCCAATAATCAAGACACAGGTCTGCACCTACCACCAAAGAAACAAAGATCAGACCAGACCTGCGAGATGTTGCTGGACCCCAGGAGCGGTGATATCTCTCTCTCACTTTTTTTTCCTCTCTCCATATTATTAGACAGAATTAGGGAAAGCCATTCTTTTACCTGATCTGTGAAATATTATTACTATCAAAGTGCGTTATTGCTGCCAATCTACCGACCAAAGAGGGTTATTAACTCGCTACCTTTGCCGAGCAAAGGGTCTCTGCCGTGCAGAGGAAAACCCCTTTAAAAGGGAGGATACAAAAGATTCACCTACCCCGAAACACACCTCGTGGGACAGGACAGCTGTCTGTCTGTCTACACTAGCTTTCACAGGGTAGCTGAAGGACTCCTTTTCATCGACATTTTCACAAGCAATGTTTCGGTCTCTTAATTGCCAAGTTATATGTAAGCTAGAGCAGTTGGAAGATGAAGAGTCGCAAGTGTCAAACTGCCCTGGGTTTCACTGAACTGTAAAAATA